AGAGGGGCCGCAGCTTGGCACCCTTGGTCTGTGTGCATGGTTGGGTCCCCAGATGGTGCACAATGGTCAGGGCACCCTGTGAGACCTGCTGTTAGCACAGGCTGCTCCCAAGAGGATTTCCTGACTTACATTTCTGGTGGGCCATGGGATCAGCTAGGAGTACAAGGTGGCCTACTGGGATCCTTCATTCTCTTCCAATGTAAGAAGTCCTATAGCATGCATATTTAGGGAGGATGTACAGGCAAGAGAAAAGAGAGGGGAGCACCAGGAGGAGTAAGTATTTCCACAGCATGATTTGGGGGCAGACCAGCCAAACATTAGATCTCTGCTAAAACAGTGCCTGGCTCGGTGTGGTAAGGAGGTGCAAGGTCTGAGAAGGAGCCCTGCAAGGCTGGGACTACTGTTGCAGAATTCAGTAGAGACAGCAGGCAATAATCTGCTCCTTACCTTCTGGAGAAGGCAGCTTGGATGACTCCACATGGAGGGTGGGCAATGGAGAGTCCACTGAAATCTGCAAAGCATGGTCCAAGGTGTCCCTAGTCCTGGCGATGCCAGCACTGACTAGCACACTGATGAAAAAAGAGGAACCAGGGACCTGTTAAAAATTAGATTTCAATGTGCATCTCCAGCAGACACCACAGTTTGAATGCAGTACCTTGGCCTGCTTGGCTACCCAATAGCTCATTGCCTGCTGTTGGAGGCAAGATGCTGGACTAGATGGAGCTTCAACACAGCCTTATTCCAATTCTTAGTCACATGTATAGCCATGGGATAAGTTCTTGCTCCTGTTTGTTTAAAGGCAATTGCTAAACTCCCAGGCCAACAGTTTCTAAAGGGTCTTCTGATTTTTTATACCTCCATTTTGAGTCTGGATTTTGGATCACATTTCAATTTCTACATGAGTATGCTTAATCACTACTTTGACAAACAGGGCTGGCACATCTCAAACGGCTCATTCCAAAGTCCAGGCATTTCAGAGGAGTACCGTTTGCGTATAATTAATTGGGTGTTATTTATTGAGCTGGCAGTGGGAGACAGTCTATAGCACAAAGCTCTGTGCTACCCAGCGGGTCACAGTTCCAGTGTTTTGGTTTCTCAGTATTGCTGGATTGCCGCTGTTTAAACAGCAAAGACAGACCCTGACCCAACATCTCCCATGAAGGGGCAGAGAACTTTGTCCTTAAACTTTCGTAACTCCAGTTTGTGAGTAATCTACGTACCTCTCATTAGCTGCAATCTGGAAGCTCTCGGTTGCTTTTGATTGTTGGTGTGGTGAGTGTCAAGATCCTAGCACAACAGGAAAGTAAATGTTGTAACTGCAGCTCTGCTGGGCCCCTCAAAATACATGACTACTCTGCATTCTTCTGTCACTGTTTCTTCAGCTGACAATGCCACATTACACACAGTATATTATATAAAAAAGTTTGTCTAGTAAAACATAATACAAAAGCCTTCCTGGTTTTGTCAGTTGAACTGAAGCAGACAGTTTTTATTGCTGCACCGGAGATTGATAATAATAAAAATAAATAAACAACCACCCCTCGCCAGTGGCTTCACAATAGACATGAGGCACACGAATGGACCTTATTCAAAGGGAACAGGAACCTAGATGCAGTGGGAAAATGGATATTTGATAATCATATCCCAATACAGAAAAATCTGTGCCTTACCAGAAGTGCTAAATACTGTTTGACACCTCTGTCTTAACCTTTGATTCTTCGTTGTGGAGAGCACTGTACTCCTTGTAGAGAGCTAAGGTTTTCATTTTTTTTGAACTCTGTGCTTCCTGATGAATGCTGACACTCAGGGGCAAATACATGAAATAAGAAGGAATCTTACATACCTTTTGCAGCCATACACTGGAATAAAAAATAAGAAAAATCCACTACCTGAGTATCTGAGGGAGCCAGTACCTACCTGGTTCAAGGAAAGGGGATATGATTCCATGAACAGCATTCTCAAGGCTCTACCAACACTGAAAAAAATATACAATCTTGACTTTTTAACCTTATCCCATGAATCCATCCCACATCTTTGTGCTTTTAGCCTCATTTCCCACAGAGAATGAAATTTCTGTGATCATGCCATCTGGCTGTCTATCAGCCGGTATGTTCTGAACCTGCTTTCTATCAAACTGACAGAGGGATTGAGGCTCAAAGAGAATTAAGTGCCTATGAAATTCATGAAAATCAGCAGCTGGGTCAAAGATGGAGATCCAAATGAGTGCCCTTGCTAAGGGAAAGGTAGGCAGAACGCAGCCGTTTTACACGCTGCTTGCTAATGTCAGTCATCACGTGCAGCTCTGGACTCACCAGAGCAGATGGTGCTTCTTGCTCAGCGAGATCGAGGGCTTATGGTTGGTGTAGTGAGTGGTACGGGTGAGGGAAGGAGAAGAAGAGGCAACGGGACACACCGGTAAGAAAGCAGGTCTCATTAGGTCACAGAACACTGTGTTTAACTATAAATGTCCATTTATTCACATAACCATGTAGCTCCTGCAGTTCCTGAGGGCCCTACAAAGATGTGAATCTGTTTCTCACGGAGAAGGCTGACAAGCAATCACTGCGTCTTCAATCCCACACCTGAACCCATCCTGCTTGAGCTCCCATTGCTTCCACTGCTCAGGACTGGAGTGAAACTCAAAGCAGCTTCCAGGGCTCTGGAGATAACACGCTTGCTCTTTGAAATCATATAAAAGGTATTAAAAGTTAGGGTGGAAAGTACAGCCCAGTTCAAAGTTTCTCTAAAGAAAAAATCCCAACCAGGGAAAGTTTAGAAGCAAAATGATTTCTCCTCCCCCAGCAAAGGGAGTTTCAGTTTTTGTTTTTCATACCTTGCTCTCCTGCTTCACGTACTGTGCTGTGGAACAGCAGCTGAGCTTGCAAATACTTCTGGAGGAAAAGGGCTGTTTTGCTTGAAGCTATGCCTGTCCTAGAGGGAAAAACTGTGTGTTTTGAAGAGTCCTAACTCCTGTATTTTAACTAACAGAGGAAGAGTGTTGTTTAACATCACCTTGGCAAGCATGTGTGGCATGTACATTTCCCAGATCAAACTGAATGCTGACCCTTTATGCTTACCCTCAGTGCACTTCTGTGTGGGCAAACTTGTGACCTCAGCCTTAGGCATGCTGCAGCTCTTCCAGACTACATCTGGTCGGGCCGTTTTGGGAAAGATTGCTGTGGGCTGACCCACAGCAGGGGCAGGAGCTTACTGTGGTTTGCTCACTGGGGGTTTCCCCACAATGAAAAGGGAGGTAGAGAAGGGTTTTGCCTCTTGATTGGTTTATGAAGGATAAACATGTAGCTCTGCAGGACTCACAGAAAGAGGCACTTGGGTGAAAGCTGAGTGCCCTTCTTGGAGGTGGGCTTGATGTGTGACTGACTCATGGGGGCAGGAGAGCCATCATTTTAGTGAAGAACAGATGTGAAATATATTAAGTGGAGCCCTCTTCTCTCCAAGATTTCCTTCAGCAACTCCCCTTCACTTCTGTCTTCTCAAGGACTCTATTATTTCACACAGGAGAAAGAAGTAAGAGTTCAGGATTTTCTCTCCCTCAAAAGAGATCCACTGGGATTTACATTTTACTTGTACCTGTCTTCTAAGTAATGGACTGAGGTCCTTAAAACCGGAAAACAGTAAGAGAAAAATAAAGCTTGGAGCCTGTTATATTTACTATGTCGGTCAATGAAGACAGAAGCAAAAAGCTTTAAAAATAAGTACTCTATTTCAGCAGTGAGGCCCCTGGTGAAATTGCTGTCTGACTTTCCTCACAGAACAGATTGGAGTTTCCAACAGATCGGTGTTACCCACTGACCTGAGTTGGACATTTGCATGCCCAGGACTTGTCAAACTGACTTCTCACAAAAATTTCTAGAGGTGATTTGGCTCTAGGGTGCCCAGCCTGATGTGGTTTCCAGGAACCTATTTTTCAAAAGGGGCTGACCATACACTCTTCCCCCATCAAAACTCAAAAAATCCCCTCCTAAATGGCTTCTCTCTGTTGTGATCTCAGTAGCCTAAAGACAGTAGCCTAAAGCAGCCAGAACTGTTTTCCAAAAATAACATCAGCAACTTTCTGAGTTTCATGATTTGCAAATGCTTCTGTGATCAACCTCAGACTTCCTCAAAAATTCTCCAGGGGGAAACAGCTTTTACAGATCACAAGGAAAGGACTTTTTTTTTTTTTATTTATTTTCATCTAGAGGGGATGTCCAAATGGTTTCTCTTCTGTGAGCTGCCTTGAGTTTTTTTCATGAGGAAATTTTCCAGCATATAATTTGGTAGAATTATGGCACTCCAGCTGCCCCTGCTCATCTTGAAAATGACAAAATACACTAAGAAGAGATGCTGCTTCTACATCATGAATGCCTACACGGGGAGTTACACATGTAACACTACAGAAATATAGTTTGTATTGCTCAGCCATGCTGTAAATTCCTGCTTTGCCCTTAGACTCAAGTCACAGTGTCCTCGTGGTGTTACGACCCGAGGGCTTAAGTGTGGTTTCAGAAATGTTGCTTCATATGGCCAACATTTGCACAGACACTGTTCTGTTAGAGATGCAGAGAGAAGGTTGCGAGGGGATTTTGGGAGGCTGAAAAACCCTTTCCCCTGTGTTTTGTCACTCAAGAGAGATTCTTTCAGTGCTGATTTTGATGCCCTTTACAGTGACCCACAGTGCCCCACGATCAACCTTATTTCTGTTCAGAACAACACAGAGCTGGGGGGGGAAAGAAGAAAAAAAGGGAGGTGAGGTCCTACCAGTGCAGGCAGTTGCAGAAATGGGAGTGACCTAACGGATTTAATGGGGGGAGCACTGGCTTCTACACGTAGGGATTTTCCCTGTGACGAGCAACTTCAAGATAAGCCGCCTGGGGGATTCCCCAGTCTGCCTCCAGAAATATCAGTCTAGAAGCAGTAGCAGTTTCACTCTGCTCTCACAGTCCGTCCTGCGAAGAGGCACGCTGTTGCTTGCTCTGTGATTTGAAGCAGCAAAAGCCATGTCTTTGGCAGTCTACGCTCTGCTCATCATCCTGTGCAATGGTAAGTGGGGAGCCTTGCCTTTTTCATTCTGGTCTTTCACATTTATTTTGTGGGGATATGTTTTGGGAAGACAGGGAGGATTACTTAGGCAATCTCTTTTAAAGGTGATGTGTACCTGTGCTTTGCAGTTTGGTGCTTGATCAGTGGGGCTTTTGTGGTGGTCCCAGATGTTGCTGTGAGATGTGCTGAAGAAGTGCTGCTGCCCTGTAAAGTTCTTCGGGATTCCTCAATCACCTATCAGACAGCATCTTGGTACAAAGTAAGAAAAAAGCGCCTAAGTTACCTGAGCAGTCTGCTTTGCTTTCCTACCTGATACTGGCTTGGCTTGTACAAAATGGGTTATTTTATGAAGAGGCATCCACTTCTCAGTGCAGCAGAAATAAGGCAGCAATGAAAGCATTTGAGCTGATCAGGGGGTTAGCTCAGTTGGTTAGAACATGGTGCTAATAATGCCAAGTTCACAGGTTCAATCCCTGCTCACTGCAGGGGGGTTGGGCTTGATGATCTCTCAAGGTCCCTTCCAACCCAAAGCATTCTATGATTCTATGATCACGGAGAACAGGCATTTTCCATGTTATTGTAGACAGACTATTTGAGCATGATCTGTGAATTGCTATTGGCCTGCTTTTCTATCTCACTATTGCTGGATTCCAGGGATCGGAATTCAGGTGATGCCCCATGCGTTTATACCACTCCAAAGAGGAGTCTTTCCAGGATTTTACTTCAGAGCAAAAACTGGTATTTAAACCTTACAACATCAGTGATGCTGTGTCTTTGTTAATCTCCCCCTGAACAGGAGCTGATTTTGTCTTTGAAATAGAAGAACTAAACAAGTACTTGCTATTCTTTAGGAAGATTTGGCTAGTGGAGGTGGGCATAAGGGCAGGGTCTGCAGAAGGCTGATGGAGAGCTAGAAATTCTGAGTTATCTCTTTGCAGTCATGAAGTAGAAGTCTAATCTTGGCTGCCCTGGTTCAGCATTCCCATTGCCAAAGGAGGAGAGCCCTGCTGACCACCTATTTGCAGGAGGGCTACAAGGATCAATCAGCTAATGAGCAGAAAGTCCTGTTCAACACTTTCAAGATGGAAGAGTGGCAGAGTTGCACAGTGGTTGAAGAAGTGCCTGTTGACTTGCTGTACGGCACCGTGTATTTGCATCTGAGTGCATGGTTTCAGCTTACAGTGTGAGCCAAATTGACAGGAAAAAAAGGAAGGTTTTGTTCTCCTCCATTCCTCGCTCCCAGACATGCACCCCTGCTGCTTACCATGGGTCAGTCCTGGTGGTCTTCTGGTTGCCTGTTAAGTCAAATCGCTGTTGCTTGTTGTAATAGTGGAAAATCAATCTGCAAATTAAGATTTTGTGGGTTACAGAGTTGAATTACTTTCCCATGTGGTGCTAGAGCAGTGGAAGGCAAGGGGAAAAACCGTATTTCTGGTGAGCAAAAACTGTTAATTTATCTCTGTCAGAACATACAACCACAGCCTTGGCTTCCCCAGCAGTTTGGTCAGATATAGTTTTAAATTTATTCCCTACAGTAAACCAACAAACAGTGTTACTAGATAGGGCTTCTGTGGTTGAAACTTGCAATGCATCTGAGTTTCAGTGCTGGTACAACAATGAGCATCTGCCTACTGACTAGATGACAACTGCAACCCAAAGGTACCTAATCTGAAAGAGCTGGTTCGAACATCTGGCTACCAGCCCATCAGCAAGTGCAGCATCTATAGTCACCTTCTTTTTCCAAAATGCTGAACTAAGTGCAGGTGGGAGACAGAGACGAGAGAATAATGCGTTTGGTTGAACATTACTATGGGAGCTGGGATAGGTGTCAACTTACTCTTTTTTTGCTTTCTTCTTCAAAAGCTGGGTAAGGTCATATATTTTCCATACAGATACATGCTAATTATTTAAGGCCCCATGTTTCCCACAGAGTCTAGGCAGGGCAGGGAGCTCATTGCAGGTAAACCATGCAGTCTGGTGGACCTGGAGGAGTTGAGCAGAAGTGGTAAGGGGTGGGGGAGGAATAAACAGAGAGGTTGACGGGATCCCTGAAAATTCTCCCCCTAACCAGTGTTGGCAGTCAACAAAAATGAAAACAGTTTCAGCACGCTGAAGTGTGGGGATCCTCCACAAGCATGTCCTTCTGAGTTCAGTGGCAGCTGGGAGGGCCAGGCAGCAAACAGGAGCCAAAAGCCATTGCCCTGATGAAGGAGTATAAGGAAACCCTGTAGACCCAATTCTGTGTTGTCTCGTAGCTCTTTACAGTTTCACCTGGGCACAAAACAACTGCACATGGAGAGGAGGGTGATATTTGATGATGCCTTTTGTGTGGGCCCCTTCCTCGGCAGCCCTCACTAATGCTGCTTCCCTTTGCAGCAGTCAGGCTGTTACAGTCCAGATTGCCGCTGCACCTCCCCTGCCCTGTCCCGCCAACCTCCTTTGCCTCCATGGTCTCCTTGCTCTTTCTGCTTCATCTGTTTCGCTCAGGAAAAGACTATTTTTCCAGTGCCCAGCATGACAGGACTTCATGCTTTTTTTCCTCTGCTGGCACTGCCAAAACTACAAGAAGTAACAAAATCTAGCTATCTTCAGCTCTTGCCACCATCCTCAGGGGCTGATGGCACCAACCATGGTACTGTAGTCTTCTTGTTACTCATCCCAGGAGAGAAGTGGGAAGTGGGGACAGGCAGTTAACACCACTCTTGGTGATGCTAGTTCCATGCCACAGGCGCAGCCATATTAGGAAAAGCACAACATCAAAGCTAAAAAGCCTGACTCTCGGCAGGAAAAAGGAAATTTAGGCTTGGTGTTTTGGGCTGAAGAAGCAGTACTTCTACTTGTGGGGCTAGCTAAATAGGCAACAGCTTGAAGATCTCTCCCCTCCCCTCCCCTTTGGCTGCATGCTGCTGTCCCCACCCAACCCTGCAAAAGGAGGGTGGGGGAATGGCAGAGCGTGACTGGGCTACCCAACATAGAGAATTATCTGTTGTTTAAACAACAACCACAGAAGAATTAATCAATAAACACCATGTATACCCCCAAAGGGCTAATTAAAAGGTAATTCCAACAAATGGTATGAAATTTCAGGCTGTAAAGTTCAAGCAGCTGTTAGGCTAAATCTTTTGTATGAGGTCACTTTGAACTGTGCAGTAAATGCAAGCAATTAACCTTTGCTTCTGCTGCTTTAAAAAATTGTTGGTGACAACGTTACAGTGCTGCACGTGCAGCTGTTTGTGCAGGGTGAACGCCCAGTGAACAACCCCCTCCTTCCTACTGGCACCTCTGCATGCTCTGACCAATTAAGGGGTACTTTTAAATAGTTTGCTGCAATCAGCTTAAAAAAACCCAGAAAGGATGTTATTTAAGAGTACTTGCTTTTTCAGTTTTGTATGGAGAAATAACTGTTTAAAGAAGTTAATATTCTGGTGTCAAAATCCAACTGGATGTAAAAAGGAAGGATTGCGTTCAGAAGTTCCTTCACTTTTGCTAATGTCTCGTACTGCAAAAAGGTGTGCATGTGTTTAACCTGTTGCGCATCCAGTATCCTTGGAGCTAATTAGGTTGTTTGCATGCATGAAGTCACACGTGTAAGTTGTTCTGTGCAGAATCAGGACCACAGTCAGTCAGCTCAGACAAAATGATTTTTACTTAGAATTACTTGAAATGGGCAGGCCTAGCACACTGGGGAGAAGGCAGAGCACTAAGTCCTCTTCCAGCCTGGTGCAGCTCTCATCCCATTCACTATGTGGCTGTGAGAAAATTAGGGAGAAGTTTTCATAATTATGGTACCCCTTTAAAGGAGGTCCACTTTTAGGAGGGCTGGGCAACCTACATGCCATAAAACCATATCTGAGCAGTGTGGAAATTTGCCAACTGAGAACTGAAGACAAGGTTATTTTTGCATAAGCATCCGGGCACTGGGAATTGTGTATGGAAATACTGATTTGAATCTCTATAGCCCACCTATGAAACAAGAATCTGGTTAATGAAACTTTACTTACCTTTCTGCCTTGCAGGGCTATTGAAAACTGAACAGTTTCTCTTTGTGTAGTACATTGAAAATGAGAACCACTTCATAAAACCTCATAATTATCACTTTATATCCAGTTTGAAAACCAAGTTTAAACACACTCAAATGAAGTCCCAGTGGATATTTTGTTATTTTGTTCATGTGATAGCCAGAAAAGTCTTAATCTAAAACAAATCTTGAGGAAGAGGAAAGAAGGCTGTACTTCAGTGGAGAGAAGTCTGTTAACTTTATAATGTTTCCCTGAAAAATATAAAATTGTGGCAGGATTAGAGGGGGAGGTCATATTACAAAATAAGAATATATACATATATTCTTATAGAATATATACATATATTCTTATACATAGAGACATTTAATATTAATCGCACCTTCCTTCAAAGGAAATTACTTTTGCTAAATATGCATAGCTGTTACCTATTAGCATAGGTAAATAGTTGCCAAATTACTTCAATCTAATTTCTAATATACCTGAAGAAATGCAGTCAAATGCTCCTCAGACATCTCTTCAGCTCCAAATAGCTCCAACACATTGATGATTTAGACAGGAAGGGAGCAGTGGAAATGATTTCATGACCAAAACAATTCTTTTGCCTGACATAAGCTAGTGCTGGATGCCCTTACCTAAAAAAAACCCAAACAATACAGAGGCTGACTGAGTCAGAGGGCTTTTCCAGCTGGCTCATGTGTCACATGCAGTTCCTTTGCTGTTATTTTGGGGTTGGGTTTTGGTTCTTCTTTTCTTCTTTTTTGTTTCCCCTCTAAAGCATGGTCAGGGTTCATTCACATGTGTCCACAATTTATGTCTGGTTTTTTCAAATTTAACATTGGTATCTGTACATGACACTGTATAGGAACCATATGGATGCACCTTCAGCACTAATCAAATGTGAAAGTGTTTTTGTGCTGAAAAATACACCTATTAAGTGGTTTCAGCTCAGTTGTGATTCATTACATGTTGGCTATTGGGCATTGGCAGAATTCTAGATATTTTGCTTCAGAAAATAAATTCCTTCTGGCTGTGTATAGATTTTAGATCTCTTTAGCAGTCAGAAATTTTGACTTGGCCATTATTCCTGGTATAATTTTAAACAAAACCATTTTTACAATCATCTCACCCTCAGAATAAAATAAATTAGTGTTAATATATTCCACCTTTACACTGACATCAGTTTTGGACCTGGACCATTTTGTTTGAAATAAAAATTTGCTTTTATGGGAAAAGTGGATTA